ACCTCAACAAGGAGAGGCTACAAAACATGTAGTCAACCATTGTCTCCGTACCTTCACACATGTTGGGCCACCAATGGAGATAAAAACCGATAATGGCCCTGCTTACATCAGCACCGCCTTTGCGGAATTTTGTCATCGATGGTCAATTATACATGAATTTGGCATTCCCTATAATTCCACTGGTCAGCCATTGTGGAACGAGCTAATCAGACACTCAAACAAGCACTCCTTCATATCAAAATGAAAACGGGGGAAGTGGATGGATATGGTTTGCCTTACATACAAAACATTCTTAATATTACCTTATAATACTTTAAATTTTCTAAACATAACAGGATCTCCTGCTGCTATGGCAGCCAGTAGGCATTTTGCTTCCTCCCCTTCTGCAGGAGCGCCAAGACTGAAAGTTCGGTATAGGAGACTGCCAGATCCAACGTGGAGAGGACCTGTCCCGCTGATAACTTGGGGCTGAGGATACGCTGCCGTTGAAGATGAGGGGACAGTTGTTTGGGTTCCTGCTCGCTGTGTGCGTCCTTATCATCAGCCAAAGGGGCAAGGGGGTGGATTTGGGGGAATGGAAAAGAAACACATTGATCCAGGACATGGGGAAACTAGCAAACCTTTATAACAGAACTGATTGTTGGGTATGTATGCACATGCCAACTCACAAAACATCAGGGCTTCCAATGGTTGCAGTAACTCTGGCCAAAGGCGACTGGTATAAGGGACAATGCTATGGTTGTTTGGGGATGTGGTCTAGCAGTTGGACTCCAAGTAACATAACTACCTTACACCTTGGAAGCCGGATCCAAGAGGTGGCGGGTATCTGCCACAATGAGACGGTAGAGAATATGACTTATTTGGGAACATATCCGTTTTGCAACAAAACAATTGTTATTGGCAATGGAAGTCGGGTTTATTTGGGTGACATGAAAACAAAAAATCTTACTTACTTTGTACACAACATTTCTTATTTTGATATCACATCTTTGATCAATGAAAATGGTGCCCATATATTCCTGCCACATGTTGTCCCACCACGATAGAAAACCAGTTGTCTAAATGTGCGAATGGGACTAACGCACCATCGTCCACTTATTTGGCTATGTTAATGGAGTCCTTTGCAAAACTAATCTATGTTGAGCCAGGTAAGGTTGGTCATCTGGGAGCAAATTTATGGTTGCTGTGTGGTCGGATGGCCTATGATCGCATGCCAGCACGATGGAAAGGGGTCTGCAGCTTTGGGAAGGTAATCCCATCTCATGTCATTTCAAAATCTTTGGGGACTGCTCATATCCACAATGCGCGTTCTGCAACGGAAGTAAACTCTGTTTTGACCCATGACTACTGGACACAGATATCAAGGGGAATGATTCCCCCTTTAGGAGTCATGATGAACTATAGAGATTTGCATCGTTTAAACAATTGGACAGTTACTATGTTTAATGACACCATTAAAACGCTAAGGCTGCTTGAAGAAGAGCAAGGCAAAATTTGTGACTTCATCCTGCAAACCAGATATGCGGTGGATACTATTCTGGCTGCGCAAGGGGGAGTTTGCGCTGTGGTTCATACGCATTGTTGCACGTATATCTCTGATTATTCCCCAAACATTACAGCTACTATACAGCATATGGAACAAACCTTGAAGGAGAATCCATTACAATCGGAGGGTGAGGGACTGGACGTGTGGTCTGCACTTTGGTCCTGGTTGCCAAATGGTTCATGGATTCATCACCTAGTTGTTGGAGTGATATTGCTTATTATACTTTCTCTCTGTGCATGCTGTTATATCCAATGTCTCCCTGGACTTTTAGGAATGTGTCGGGTGAAGCCTCCGGAAAGAGAACTGCTGTTGCAGATGGCGAAAAGCTACCAAGGCATCCGCGATCATCAAAAAACTAAAACGGGGAGATGTGGGAATAAAACTTTGGCTTGGGTTTGGGTAATGATCAATCTAATACTTTGTACATACATGCTTGTTTAAAGGTCACTGAGATAGTGTAAGGAAATTTCACAATGAGAACGATAAGAATAAACACAAGGAACTAGGAAACAGCTCAGACAGCAATACACAAGTCTCAGACAGCAATACACAAGTCTATACTATATCTGAACTATTGTAACCCATCATGTGATTATGCTTGCTATGTTTACCATGTACAAAAATCTCAATAAAAGGGAGCGCTGGATTTTGCTCTGGGCTCTCATCCCGAGAACACTCGCTTGTGTCTCATCTTTTCCATGAGAGACCACCACACTCGACAAGGTGTAAACAACTCCACTCAGCAGTGCAATAATTCTTGAGAGCAAACCTCCCTTTCAGTTCATCACACCGGCTCACTTCCCCAACCCAAATGCCATGCCCCCCCCATTACTATGGTAGCCAATAGGAAGCATACAGCAAGGTCAAACCCCAAGCTGAAGATCCAGCTGACACAATCTTTCTTGAGGCTGGCCAGGAACAGAAACTTGATGGCTGACCTAAAAGCCTTCACCTCTGACAGCTGACTGGATGTTGTGCTCTCAGAAATAAACCTTACCTCTGGTTCAAGCACTTGCCTGTTTATTTTATTCCTAGCTTGAAATGAGGCAAGATTTCCTTCTTATGAGTATTTTGAAATATATCCATAAAAACAAATGCTAGAGGCTTACAGATAGTAAAGTCCCTCCTGGTTTTTTTTTCTTATTGGAGTTCTAATATATAACAATAGACATAGTTCTCCACTTACAAACATTCATTCAACGTTCAAAATTACTACTAGGCTGAATGAAGGGATGGATAGCAATAGCACTTAGACTTGTATACCACTTTACAGTGCTTTATAGCTCTCTCTAAGCAGTTTACAGAGTTAGCATATCTGGCTCCTCATTTTACCAACCTCAAAAGGATAGAAAGCTGAGTCAAACTTGAACCTGGTGAGTTTTGAACTGCCAAATCCAACCGCTGCAACATCCCTGTAGTCACATGATCAAAATTTGGGTGCTTAGCAACTATCCTTATAACTATAGGAGTGCTGCAATTCCCAGATACACAGACCTTGGGCTGGGAGGCATCAACCAGCTATGTCTAGCAGCAAAGGGATTCCCCCAACCCATTCCCAAGAAGCCTCGCCTTCTCCCTTCCTCCTGCTGCTGGAAGGCCTCCACTGATTAGGCGCCATGGCAAGTGAGAACCTGCCACACATTAGAAGACCAGATACTTCACCAATACTCTTGTGAACCTTCTCCCACCACCACCATTGTGCCAGTTAATAAGTTTCAAATGAGTTAATTTTCAAATAACAGAGTTTAAATTAGAGAGAAATTAAACCATTTCTGTCCTTTCAACACAAGGTTTGAACATATAAAATGTTAATTATATAACCTAAAAATAACTGTTTTTAGGAACCACCCACAAAGCAAACTACTTGTTTTACACAGTTGCTTTGCCAACAAGCCCCATTTTGATCCTGTTTTATAAAATCAGAACTTAAGAGATTAATTATGTAAACTCTCCATTTCTTTCTGAATGGAATTCTACCAAAATTCATTTTCAAAAACTGCAGATTCCATAGACATGGTTCAAAACAGGGCTTATGCCAACTGCTTAGTGATATCAACAAAAAGGGCCACCAATTTATACCATGTGAAGCTAAAAAAATAAAATTCAACTCTTTTCCCTTAAAAGTTTCTTCTATATTATCCATTTACACAAACTTTATAGTATACAATTATACTATAAAAACTAGATTGTTCCTTAGTTAGTCCACATAGAAAAGTTAGGAATGTGTGTCAAGATCTCAGGGATAGAGTATTGTTCTTGATTAGTACAATCCCTCAAATTCTATAAAAGTAAGAACATATCTTCAAAAATAAAATAAAAAAGAACCAGGAGGGCATATAAATCTCCAAGCAGGAAGATAACCATAGCTCTCTGAAGTCAACCTGAACATGAGGTACAATTAGGCCTTGACTTACAAAGTTTGTTTAATGACCATTCAAAGTTATTGTGATGACCTGGGGCGTGGCATAAAGGCAACACAGTCAGATAATCAGTAGGAGTCCCTTTTTTAATCTCCAACTTTCTCCCCAATGTCCTGGTTACCTTCTGGCTGGAGAAAAACTCTCCCAGGAATAGCGTTTGGCTGCAGAGAATCAAGCCCAAAATGTGGTCAACAAAAACTGTAACTAAAAGTCCAATCAAGGCAAACTGAGGTAATTAGTCCAGCAGGGCAGGAGCAAGAATTCCAGACATGAAGGCATGGCAATAACTCAACACAATTGGAAGATACCAGGAACACAGATAATCAAAGTCAACTCAAGATAAACTCACTTTTGCTCCTAGCAGCTGCCACACTCAGCATGCATTTATTTTAACCTCTCTTCCCAACTGTGGCTAATGAAGGGAATCAGGGCCCTTTCCTCCCCCATAAGCCATGCAACCCATGTTGCTCTCTTCTCCGTTCCTCCCTGCATGCCCTAGGATGATGAGAGGGTGGACCTGGGTCTTCCTCTGAACTCCCTCTCCCTTTTTCTATCTCTCTCCCCTGCTCTGCTCAGCCAGACTTTGGCCTTCCCCAGTTTCCTTCACAGCCAACGGAGCCACACTCCTACTCCCTGTCAGCTGTTCATCTTCCTCCTTGGATTCAGACTCCGACAGGGGCATGACAGTTTTGATGGTACTAAAAAAAGTGACATGACCATTTTTTGTACTTATGACCTTTCCAGCATCCCCATGAACATCTGATCAAAATTCAGATGTTTGGCAATTGATTCATATTTATGACCATTGCTGTGTCCTAAAATCGTGTGATCACCTTTTGCGAACTTCTGACAAGCACATTCAATGGGAAAGCTAGATTCACTTAACAACTGGGTTATTAACTTATCAACTGCAGTAATTCACTTAACAACTGAGGCAACAAAGGTCATAAAATGGAGCAAAATTCACTTAACAAATGTCTTCTTGAACAACAGAAATTTTGGGCTCAGTTGTGGTTGTAATTTGAGGACTATCTGTATCTTTTTCAGATATATACACAATTTAGCTAGGCCCAGTGGCACAAGGACCTCCTGCCTCCTGCATTTATTTTATTTATAAATGTTTATATGTTATATTTTCCCTTGTGTGTCCTATTCATTTCTGTTCCTAAATGCACTTTATTTACTTCTGAAGATTTGGATGTAGAGATTTAATAAGATATTTTTTCATAAAACTTCCCCATATGCAAATTACATAGTTGTCCTTATATTTCAATATTGGCAACTATATTGTATTTATGTAGCTTGGGAAGGAAAATCCAAAGCAACCTTCTTTCTAGTTTTCCTAGACTTATTCTGAAAGCAGAATTCCTTTGTAGAATGGCTATGAATTTTCCAAACCTGCTGGCAACCACAACTGTTTTCTGAAATAGTTCAATTATTGCAAAAGCACCATGCAAAATAGGATAAAAATAGAGATGCAAGAAAATATAATGTAATAAAATCATTGTAAAAAGTAGCACTCAATAGTGCACCCTACCCTGTCATTTCTTTTCTAATTACTATCTACTAAGAGGATGTTTATAAGAATAAAGTGCTGAATATAAAAGGATTTTTCTATAAGAAATTTAAAACGTAGAACATTCAGACCAAATGCTACATTCTGGATTTAACACAGGAGAAGGTGGAGTTTGTACAAGAGAACAAATAAATCAAAATTTGTTTCAGACAACATTTCCTGCAATCAGTTCACTATTATTCTTCTATGCTACTTTCTGGGAATTGATTGTTTATATCCAGTTCTGGCACTTTCAGCAGGTACATGTTTTTATGGAAAGCTCCCATTTCTCGGGCTGTCATGTTTACATTCCATACAGGGAAATCTGGAACTGCCTTTAACCAAAAATCTTCCATGAGTTTTTTTCCAGTGAACCACCACTCCTAGGAAATATGAAAAGTTGCACAATTGATCAGAAAGTGACGAGGGAGCAAATAATTATACTTATTTAATTCAGAATGGAAGGTTTTGTGGTATGGTAGTGTTTCATTTCCAGAGAGGAATCACTTATTAATTTACCTTCCAATATGCTATGTACTGCACCTTATTCTAGGATATAGTCTTCCTTTTCTCTATACTAAGGGTTTCCGTCCCTCAGCTCCATTATCATGAGATCCCTGCCCTGCCTTGCATAGGACACAAGTGACATTATTTTTTCAAAAGAAAAATGGGGTCAAAATTCAGCCAGCTGCCAGTAGATGGCTCTAGAATTCACAGGAGCATAAAGAGGTGCCTTACAAAAATATGAAACTTCACCTTCTCAATTATTGTTCACAATAATTGACAGCCAGTCAATGGATTTTTAACCTATTCTGTGGGGCAACAAAATACCTCAGGGCAAGAGAAGAAGTAACAGATAGAAACTTATCAAAGAGAAAGAGAGATCCACTTAGAACTAAGGAAAAATTCCTGGCAATGAAAACAATTAATCAGTGGAACAGCTTGCCTTCAAAAGCTGTGGTTGCTCCAACACTGGAGATTTTTAAGAAGAGATTGGACAGCCATTTGCCTGGAATGATATAGGCCTGGGGTGTCAAACTCAAGGCCCACAGGGAGGATCCAGCCCACAGGTTGCTTAGATCTGGTCCACGGGCCCACCCTGGAAAGAATAAAGGACAGGCCCATGGTGCCTCTGCTAGCAAAAATTGGCTTCTGATCTCCGTTTCTGGCTGAGACAGCCTCCTGTAACCCTCTGTCAGTGAAAATGGAGCTCGGGAGGCTGTGGCAGAGGGTTGCAGGAGGCCATCACAGCCAAAAATGGAGTTTGGGAGCCCGTTTTCACTGGCAGAGCACTCAGGCCACCACAGGTGCTGACATGAGTGACGTTGAGCTGGCCATGGCCCCTGGCCACCCCCTCCAAGGTCAAACACAACCCTGATGTGGCCCTCAATGAAACTGAGTTTGACACCCTGGCTATGGGGTCCCCTGCTTGAGTAGGGAATTGGACTAGAAAACCTCCAAGTTTTCTTCCAAGTTGAAATATAGTCTAATTGTCAATCAAACTTTTAAACAAGACTAATTTCCTCTTTTAAAAATGAATATATCTATATCTATTCACATACACACATACACACACACACACATATACATACATACATACATACATACATACATACATACATACATACATATAGATATAGGACTAGTTCTTTAAATTTAATATTCTGAAAGATTGTAAATGATAGGCTTATATACTGTAAAAATGTTCTATCTCTGACGTAATAAGTTTTAAAGCAATACCTTGCTAATCTCTAGCCAGGATCTCTCCAAACGATTTCCATAGATATCACTACTGTAGAATCCCTTCTCAATAAAGTTTTGGCTGAGTTCATCATTCCCAAGCATCAGCTGGACATAGGCCTTCAGGTGGTAAACCCTGGAATAGTACACTGGGCTTATAGAACACTGGTTCATTATCTGATCCAAATTCTATTAAAAACAATGAATAATCATGTCAGAGTGTTGGATGTGTAACCAGAGACATAAAGATAATTTCTGAAGAAAAAGTCAAAACAAAATAAACAGAAAATATTGCAATTTTATTTTCAATGTTTGTACAATGTCAGTTCCTAAGATTACAATAGGCTTACTGAAAATAAATAAATAAATAAACAAATAAACAAATAAATAATACTGGTTTTTCTGAGGAAACCACCACTGCAACTATTTTTGAAATGTCTATATTTTGAGAAGAGGAGGAAAAAAACAAAGCACGAGATAGCGTCAGAAGCTGCTTTACTCACTCATTTACGCCATTCTCTACATAAAGAAACTGGTGAATCTAAATGCTTGAAGCACTGCAGAGAGTAGCTGGCTGGCTGGCAGATACATAATTCTACTTTCCTTACATCTCTTAAACAGACTGCCATGTTCTTTCACAGGTGATATGGTTTTGTAATCTGCACTGTTTTTCGTCTGCATATAGAAAGGTATGCAGATATATTTTTCTTTTCTGAACACATTTTGATTTTTTTTTCCTGGAAGTTTTTGAGATTTAAAATGCTTAATTAAATTTACATGAAAAAAATACTCTGAAATCTTTTGCTTAGATTTATACATGTTTTTAACCTACTTAATGAGAGTTTGCTTCCATTTGAATGAAATCTGAATCTGACATACTGATTTTGAATACTTAGGAGTCAAGGTGCTCCATCCTATGACAATATGTAAAAAGAGAGTTAAAATACTTAGGACATTTAATTTGTGAAAGAAGTAGAAAAATAACATTTGAAAGAATTGAAGGAATAGTAACTCAACCCTTGCATGAAACAAAGAAGGAGTTGAGAAAATTTCTAGGATTGACTGGATAATGTAGGCTGTGAATAGATAATTATGCTGTTTTGAATAAAGACTGATATGCAAAGAGCCTAGTGTTACACACATAAAGGAATGGCTTTGAGGGTTTTAACTCGGAAGTGGGGAGGAAAGAGAGAGTCAGTGGCATTTTGGTCTAAAATGTTAGACATTGACATATTCAATGATTTTGAAATATGAGAGTATGCTTATGGAACAAAATGATTTAGTATTAACCACTGATATTTGCTTGAATTGAGCCAGGATGATCAGATATTGGTGCTGAGAAGGGGTTAATTTATTTATAGATGGGAAGAGAAAGTGGTAGAAGGTAAGAGAAGGAGTTTTTGGTAAAAACTAGAAAGTTAAGTTGGTCTGTACAGTGTCAGGACTCTGACATGCACCCCCATAAGTCTCTAGCCGCATTGCTCAGTGTCACACAGACTTGTGAAGTATATGCCTTAAATCAAGTTTTGAATTCCTTTGATGCTTGAGGCAATAATTGAGCTGACTTGGAAGCCAGGATAGCAATGGCAGAAGGAACTGAATGTTTAATGTTAGCTGAGAAGAAGTTAGAGAAAGTGTGAGCAGTAGAAAGTGGAGGAGGTAAATAGATAATACCTGATGGACGGCAAATGTTGATTTTGGAAGTACTACATCAAGGTAGTCATTGGGGAGGCTAAGGTATGATGTGACTTGTTTGTAGAAGGTTATGGATTCTATGGATTGTGACAAATATGTGAAAAATGCATGTAAAAGAGTTAGTAAACAAGTTTTACACACAAGAAAAGGGAGGGTAATTTTAGTGTGAGATCATTTCAATATGAGTTGATTTTATTAAACTACCTCAAGTGGGGACACTTACATATTTATTGGTGCTAATGGGTCGCTTGACTGGATGGGTTGAGGCTTATTCAGCCATGAGAGCCAATGCAGCAGTAGTCACCAAAATTATATTGGAATAGATTATACCTAAATATGGACCACTGAAACAGCAGTCCAAGCTAAAGACAAAGGGTGGAACACTACACATGTGTAAAAGGACCAGTGGAAGAACTTAAAGGGTAGAAAGTGATTCCTGGAGAAGACCCACTGAGAATAAAGATGCTCAAAAATGGACGTGGTCATTGTGGTATGAATGGGTTTGTTTGTGCTTTTTTTTGTTGCAGGAATAGCAACTTTTTGGTCTTTCTGGCCTGAGTGTTGGCCTCTCTTATTCCATCTGAAGATCCCAAAAGAAGCTGTGCAACATCGCACTCTACAGATTGTGTTGCTTCTGTGATTGTATTTGTATCACTGAATGTTGTTGTTATTGTTGTGATTGTGAATTGATACACAACTGTGGGGAATAGTGGGACACTGTGATAGTGGAAATGTGCAAAGGTTTACTTCCATATAAACTATATATTGGGGCATTGAATCAGATCAACTTGAATTGAATACAGTAAATCTAAAAGATAGTGATATCATAAACCCTGAAGATATAGAATGGGTTGATTTAATGCAACGGTTCATTCATCATAATTTGGGAATAATTTTCTTATGCATAGGGCATGGCTTGGTGGTCACATGATGGGCTGGGCATGGCTTGGTGGTCACATGATTGGCTGAGCGTGGCCAACTCAATGTCACTCACATCAGGGGGTGCCTCACCTGGCCACTCCCCTCCCAGCCATTCCTTGTCACACCTAGCCTCAACTTATCTATAGTTCTGTAAAAATGTTCACCTTTTTTGACTTTATTATCTACATACTATAGATGGACCACTGAAAGGAGGAAATGGCTCACATGCTTTGCCCAAGAGGGCAACAGGCTTTTAAAGGGGCTGCCAGAAAGAAGGGGGGCAATGTATTTTCCAAAAAAGCAGAAGGCAAAACAAGAAGCAATGGATGGAAACTGAACAAAGAGAGAAGCAATCTAAAACTAAGAAGAAACTTCCTGACAGTGAGAACAATTAACCAGTGGACCTACTTGTCTCCAGAAGTTCTGGGTGCTCCAACACTGGGGTTTTTAAAGAAAAGACTGGACAACCATTTCTCTGAAATGGTATAGGATTCCCCCCAAGATTCCTTCTAAGTGTTATTCTGACACCTTTCCCAGGACGTCCACTCAGATCCAAAATGTGGCTGTTATAGTTGATCAGAGTTCCTCTGCTTTTTATATGCAACAGTTTTAGCATTTAGGACAGAGTTCTCCAAACTTGGTAACTTTAAGACTTGTGGACTTCAACGCCCAGAATTCCTCAGCCAGCTCTGCTGCTTGGAGAATTCTGGGAGTTGAAGTACACAAGTCTTAAAGTTGCCAAGTTTGGGCACCTCTAGTTTAGGATCAGAGCTAAGTTAGTTGTTTTTCTATTAATACATAATCCTTAAAAGGGCTCTCCTGCATGGTCTAATTCAGAGGTCCCCAATCTGGCACCAGGGACTGGTTTCATAGAAGATAATTTTACCATGGACCTGTGTGTGTGTGTGTGATGGAGAGAGAGAGAGAGAGAGAAGGAAGGGTGGAGGGAGAGAGAAAAGTATACAGTTTGGGAAAGAAGCACAAACAGAAGTGGTAAATTAAATAGTGGGTGGACCGCACATGGAGTAAAATAAGTGTGGGATTGTTACTTAAAGCTTGCCACCAGATGATATTACTCCAGTCCAGGGGAAAATCAGAATAAACACGTAGGGAAGATGTTGTGTTGTCGGAAGGACACACGAGGCAGACACGGAGCTGAAGGCTAACATCACTTTATTGAAGCATAACAGGTTGCCGCGGCTGCCCTGGCTGGGCAGGCAGCCCGGAGGGCGA